ACATGTTTAAAAATATAAGACATTTTGAGTCTTATAAGGTATAATTAATATAGATTTTCTACAAATATCCTTAATTAGATATGTAATTAATTAGTAAGATTTTCTAATTAAGGCAAGCTATTAAATAAATATATACATGGAAAGAATATTAATCAACTAACATAGTTTGTGATATAAATTAATTAAAAATGTCTTATTATAACACTAAATGGAGATAATATATTTTTTTCATACATATAGTAGAAACTCTAAAAAACACGAGTACTAATAAAAAGTTAATATTTTCATCATATATCAATAATTTAAAAATAAGAAATTATAATTACGTGTGTGTGAATGAGGGGGGGAGGGGAGAGTAGATTTTTTTTTTTTTTCACATGGACAAAAAACAGTTGGAAAGTCACCTCACACACAAATGCATATATATACAAATTTATACGTGGCAGTAGGGTTGGGAGATCATGGCCCCTCTCACCATTCACTAACTTGGCTTCTCTCTATTTCTTTTTTTTTAACTTTTTTTTTTCTCATCTCAATCATTAGATCAAATTTTAAATGATTAGAATTTAACATTTTATAAAATTAATTTTTTTATTACAATCCTAAATTTTAAATTGTAGTTTAAATCAAATTTATTATATTTTAAACGTATTTATTAATTTTTCATAATTTCATATCTTAATATTAATTTTATAAAATATTAAATCCTAACCATTCAAAATTCAATTTAAAGGTTGAGATATGAAGTGAAGAGGAAATGAAAAGAAAAAAAAAAAAAAAAGAAGAGAAATCAAATTACTAGATCTATCCCTGCCCACTGTAGCTCTCCTTAGAAAAAGCATTCCAATAGATAGCCACGAAAGCACTTTTAAAACACTTTTTTGTACATACAGAAACTCCTGCATACAGAACGCTTCCAAATCACTGTCCTAAATGGAAAAGAAAGCATCTTGTAAAAAAAAAACATAATTTTTTATTTTTATATATAATTTTATTAAATTTTGCTTTTAAAACACTTTTTTGTTTCACTTTTAAAATGCTTTAAAAAAACATAATTTTTTATTCCAATAGATAGCTACAAAAGCACTTTTAAAACATTTTTTTGTACATACAGAAACTCCTACATGCAAAGCGCTTCCGAATCACTATCCTAAAGGAAAAAGAAAGCATCCTGTAAATTTAAAAAAATAATAATAATAATTTTTATCCTTATAATTTTATTAGATTTTACTTTTAATTCTTATTTTTTTTTTCAATGCTTCTAATCCTTATAAGGACGAAAGCCACTGAAAAAATGAAAATTATAAAGATTTGAAAAACAAAAGTCATCTAATTTTTTTAAAATTATAAAGAATGAAAATATTGAAAAAAAAATTACAAAGATTAAAAACAAAATATGATAAAACTATAAACATCAAAGATTATTTTTTTCTTGGAAAAAAAAAAGGATAGTGTAAAAACTTAAAAAAACAGATATATAGCACGAACTTAATCAGCCACAGTCAAAAGCTTAACCGAAATAGATACTAACCTTAGCCGAAACGTTGTGGTCAAAAGCTACAAGAGGACGACGAAAACAGCTTACACAGAAAGGAAGACACAAGCAAAAGATGAAGAGGGAAGATGGCAGATACATATTGATCTCTCACACAAAAGGACTCTCAGGGGAAGCTTATAATTATATATGAGACTGTAGAGATTACAATAAGGAATAGATATAGTTGCAGCAGAAGCAAGAAATATATATATATAGTGAGATCTGGCTCGGAAGGGCAATAATTATAATAATTATAATGGAAAAATTTCAATAAAAGACCTTTGACCATACTTAATTACATTCAAAGCTTCTAAATTTTTTAAATTTAACTGCAATCCAAGGTACTAAGTTGATATTAAATTTATAAGAGAAATGACAAAATTACCTCTCCTTTAAATTAATATCAAAACTCATTTACTTCACTTATTCATTTACTTACAGAATATTATTAATTATCCTATTTAACTTATTTATTTTTCTAGAATGAAATTAAGTTAAAGTCTGACAATGAACAAACGAAGTAAGGCAATTAACAATAGTCTATAAGTAAGTGAACACCAAACAATATAGGAATCAACATATTATTTTAAAATAATTTAAACATTTACAATGAAAATAAGTGAAATAAGGCAATTAACAATATTTAGTAAGTAAATGAGCAAGTGAAGTAAGGCAATTAATAAGTGAAGTAGGAAAATCCTACTAATTTAAATGAAAGACAATTTTCTTATTTTTCTCAAAAATTTAATATCAAATTAATATTCATGAACTATAGTAAAATTTTATAAATTTAAGAGTTTTGAATGTAATTAAATATGGTTAAGGTTTTTCACTGAAATTCTCCCAATAATAATTCCTAAGAAGGTGACCAAATGGCTGTCCCTAAAGAACATGCATGTAAGAGAATATCATTAAACTTACGAAGAAGAAATGACCAATCTACGGTTCCTCAAAAGTGGAACCTTTCTCTTCTGTCGTATCCACACTTTAAAGTTAGATTGGGACCCAAAAGGCCAATAGATCGAGTCGTTGCCCCGGAAAAAAAAAAAAAAAAAGGAAAAAGAAAAAACAACAACATCATCATCAAAGCAACTCAGAGTTCAAGATATTTGTACAAGATATTATGATAAATTTATTTACTCTTGTCCATATTATAAAGTAGCAGCTTTTAAAAAGATAATGATCCTTAATGTAATGAAATTATTGGGATACTAATTTTATTTTTAATATTACCCCTATTTAAATTAAACTTACTAACTATAAAAGATAATATAATGTAAATTTAAATTTTTTTCATTTAAATATAGATAAAATTGGATGTTTATTTTTTTGGACAAAGTTCATACGACTTAATCAACTTTCTTTGATTTCAATAAAATTGTTAGATTTTGTACTTTATAATAGAGACCGAAACAAGTATATTACAATTGCATTACTTGCCACAAAAAGTGAGACTAGTTTTTTTTTTAATTAGATCCAATTTATTTTTCAATTTTCAATCAAGGAAGAGAGGATGTAGAGACAAAACTTCATAAATATTATTAATATTTAATAGAGACCAAAGAGTGTGCATGCTTCCTTTTGCTACGGGAGCAAATTAAAATTATTGAACCACGTACACCATTTTTTGAGGATTTGTGACTTTCGAACTAGACAACGCAGCTGCATTCAAAGAAGAGGGAGTAAATTTTCATAACTGAATAATAAATTAGGCAAAGCCGAGAATAACAGTAGACGAGCTGTCTATTTAAATTTATTTTTATAAAAATTTGGAATTAAAGAATCAAAAATTTCAGCATAATTGAACTTTTAAATTCAGTCTTATTATACCTTATTAAAAAAAAGCTTGGGCTCAAATTGTCCAATTAGACTCACTTTTTATTTAAATGACTAATTGTATGGTAACTAAACTTTTGAACTTGAGCCCATAAAAGTCAAAGCCTATCTCTTTACTAGGTGTAAGATTAGGGATTAAAGTTAACGTAAATGGTAGATGTCTTTGTCACTGTAAGTAGATGAAAATTGAAACATCAACTATTGTGTATGAAACAATTTAATTGGAGAAGTTCACCCATTGCTTTTAATATCTCGTGGAGGATATTTTTTTTTTGGATATCAGTGGAGCCTACTCTTTACACTTAAAAAAAAATAGATTAGGGAAATTTATCCTATATAATATAAACATTAATTTTTTAAAAAAACTAAATATTATTACCTTTTTTGATAGAATTATTACCCTCTAGTTCCTAATATAAGAGGGAAAACAATTTCATTGGTATTAATTCAGATTTATTAAAATTTATTATAGTTAATTAATTTTCTTAAATTCTTTTTTTTTTGAAAAATATCCCTACTTAAACTATATACCTTTAATGATTCTTTTAAATTCTCCCTCATTAATGAAAGATATTTTGGTACAAAAGAAGGGGCTAATATACTATTTGGACCCTGAGCTATATATTCAAGAGTGATTTGGACCTTAAATTTATATTTGTTTTATTTTAAACTTTAAACAATTAAATGTGAAGCACTTGGAGTAATTTTGTATTCATCATTAAATTAAAATAAATGTCTGTTACTTTTTTAAAGAATAGGGTTTAAAGTATAATGTTTTTTAAATGAGAATAAAAAGAGAAGAGAATAAAATTTGAGAAAAATTGTGATATTTTAAAAAATAATTAAATGCTGCCGGGGCATTTTTCACGCGGGTATAGAATGGAAATAGAAGCAGGGGGAAAGGGGAGTGGACCCCAGAAAACAAGAAGAGAAAGGGAAGACAGGGGGAGGGAGGGTCCATGTGAGAGAGAGTGAGTTAGGCTTTGGAATTTTCAATTTTGTGAGAAGATAAAAAGGAAGAAGGTGATGAAATAAATAAATTTATTTTTATTATTAAAATTTAAAATATAAATTATAAATTTTTTACAACGAAATTATAAAATTAAAAATCAAACATATAAATTTTTAAAATTTAATATTTAAAATTTAAGTTGAATTAATTAATCTCTTTAAGATTTATTTGTCATTCTCCTTTTTTGAAAAATCTCCCAAAAAGAACACAATCAATATTTGGCCTAAACAATTCAATATTTGGTTATTAATTTTTAATAACTATGCACAAACAGGGGAAAATACAGTTTAATCAACTCATTATACATTTGCAGTTAATTTGGACATATCTATAGGCTTAAAGTGAAAACAATTTCCCCGCGTGTTGCAAAAAGATGTTAAAGAAAATCAACTTTTAGGTTAATTCGGTGTTGCTTGACACTTCTTTGGAAGCTGATAACAATAAAGTTATTATTTTTCATTTTGTACATGGCGAAGCAACATAAGACGATTCATTTTTCCTTTATGCTGCCCAACCAAAAAAAAAAAAAATCAACCTTTAGATAAAAATAATTTTATATTAAACAACAAATAAATAAACTATAATATATAGAAACGAATGCATAATCTAGAACATTTCGCTAACCTGACTAATGATTACGCAACGCTGATAAAGTTTACATTGAAGCACAAGGAAAATGCCACTTACTATATAGTATGAAGCAGGAAAGACTTGGAAACCTGACATCAATCAAAAACATGCATGCTTTTTTTTTTTTTTGGTAAATGCATGCATCTGTTTTAGTTACAAAGCCAAGCTGATGGTGGATCATATGCACAAAAACTTGGAATAGACTATAATTGGAACTAGTGTTTACTGTCAAAATGGTCCATATGCTGCTACATTCTTGCAAGAGACTTGCTTTGAGCTGTAACGGACGATGAACTTGGACAACTACAAATTGCCAATGCTTCATTGATGCTGAATTATGCTACTTTGTGAAGTTACATCAGTAAGGACTGTTACTAGGAAACATGAAAGGACATTGTAAGTAACTCTGGCTGGACAACAAAACAAATGAAGAAATAAATGTGTGAACAGAAAATAGCAAATCAATTGCTCCACTTATGCAGTTATGGAGCATACAATGTAATGATTCTATAAAAAATTACTAATTTAAATGTAAATGTTGATCTGATTATAGTTATGTACCATGACATCTCTTAACTGAACTGTAGTGCCCCTCGCGATGGCATGCCACAGTCAAGCGATGTCTTTTCTTCTTGGGTTACAAGAGACAAACCAAGGCTTGAGACAATCAAGCAATGTCTGCATTGGAAGAGGACTAAAATTGGAATCCAAGCAAGATTTTCTTTAAAATTCAATGTGCTTTCCATCAACATTCAGTAAAGTCATATCACTTACATGGGGTGATGTAGGCAAAGATGGTACTGACTGGACATTATTCGAAACTGCAGATTCTAAGCTAATCATTCCATATTGCATCTGAGTGCCCTACGAGAGAAATACAATAATGAGAATCATTCAACAATCAATCGGAAAAAAGTCGATTGGTCAAATTCATACCTTAGATTCTGGAGCTTGTGAAGCTGTGACTGTGGAACATGTTTTCCTTCTCTTAGTCTTCAGTTTGTTAAATTTAACCCACTTCTTCAGCCGCCTCTTTCTCCTCATACCATCTCTCTTCTTGAAACTAAGGCTTTGCGCATCAACCTTCTCTGGCAATGCCAAGGAGGTCATGTCCTCTGCATTCGTTTGCTTCTTAAGAATCTCTTCAACTTTCTTGCTTATTTTTAGCATGGCTTCATGGAACATAGCAAATGTCTTGGGACATTCTGATGCTTCAGCAGCTAATCTTAACAGCATGTAACAAAGTTGTCCAAATCGGTCTGAGCTTTCTTCAACCCCATTTCCCATGATTTCATAGGACAAATAGCGTTTTGCCATTCTTGTCCACCTCTTTAATATATATATTGGTGAGGAAGTATCTTCACATCATGCAAATCATATATTTTCACAGCATGACAGTATAATATTCCCCAACTTTCAAACAATTTACAACTACATGAAATTGACTTGTCAACAGGATCAAAAGAAACTTTCCATTCTCCCTCTTCTTCATGCATTGTCACTGCATATTCAAATATCAATTGCATCTCATTTCTATGTGGTGCAAGAGCAGCAAAGGATCGATCCCATTGTTCTTGGAATAAGTCAAATATAGTGGGTGTGTAAATCTGAACGAGCTGTTGTAACATAGGTGAATACTTGGACTTTAATCTTGGCATCTGTTTCCGCATCTCAAAATGCTTTGACTGCCTATAACGATTGCCTTCAACAGCTCGTTCAAAGTTCTCAAAGAACTGAACAATATCAAGGTCAAGGTTTGTAAAAGATTTTACCATGGCATTGATGCTTTTATTGGGTTGGTTGATCTGCATGCCAAGTGTGAGAACATGCTTCATATAACATGCTGCCCACTTTTCCTTTACCTTGTATAGTGAATTCAACCATGTGTCATCTTCCACACTGTAAGCAGATAGCAGCTTGCTCCAAGCAGCATCAAACTGTGTTTCCTTACCATAGTCACACACGCACCTCTTAAAATCAATTAAAAATGGCGATTCAACTTCCATTAACTTTCCAAGATGTTTGATCCCATTTTTCAGTATATACCAAGAGCATAAAACATGCTTCACCCCAGGAATTACCTCAAGCAAGGATCTTGCTATGACCTGATCTTGGTTTGTAAAAACAGTAAGTGGTCTTTTTTACTTATGTGCCTTCAAAAAGTTTTTGAAAAGCCATTTGAATGAATCAATTGTCACATCATAGAGCAATGCCACCCCAAAAATTACCTGACCTCTGTGGTGATTCAAACCAGAAAAGATTACAAGTGGTCGATGGTCATGGCCAGTACAATATGTCGTCTCCAACGATACTGCATCTCCAAAATAAGAGTAATCAATCAACATCCATACATCAACCCGAAATACATTTGTTATCTTCTCTTCCACATCCAGCTGTAAAGCATAGTAAAAGAGCGGATCTTCTGTCCTCTTCTGTTGAAAATATCGTAAGAGAAAACCTGCTTCACATACATCATGGCCCGTTGCCTCTTGGTCTTTAGCTAATACTTTGCACCCTCTTGACAATAGCCCAAATTGGCACTACCATGAACAAGTCCTCTCGCCAACTCAAACGATGCATTTTGTTGGAGTCCATCATTCTCTGCCATGTTAATATCACAGGTTTGAACTTCAATTAATATTTGCTAAGATGTTGACATTTGCTGCAATGCCACTTCTAATGTATCAAATCGTAGACCAATTTTGGATGTCAAATCAATCGTTATAGAATAGAACCTGAAACAGAAAACTAATAAGAAGTTATACAGGTTCTTTTTCACCAAGGATAAATAAATATAAATTTTTTGAGTCTTAATCATTTGAGGATTAATGCAATACACATATTGATTCAACGGAAACAGGTTATGTCAATAAAGCGATCAAACTAATCATATTAGCCATGATAAGATTGGAGCAAACACGAATACAGCATATCTGGTTAGAAGGGCAAATTAACCCTATCTTACAATGTCTGTTAAAGGAGCAATCAATTAATTAGGCTTGGGCATAAATGTATTGCAATTTTTGTCAAATATAGAATTTGAAAATAAATAAAAAAACTAATGATAATAACTATCACAGATTAACACAAGCAGCAACGAAGAATGCAAGCTAGTAATATACAAATATTGAATTCAATCAGTCCAAAATGAGATCAGCACAGAAGCAGCCTAGCAATATTCAAAAATAATAAACCACCTAAGGCATCAATGAACAACAACCCTCCAATCACAAAATATTGCCAGTGGGCCCTTCCCTCTGAATGATTTATATTTAGTGGCTAATGACAATTAGAGCAGAAATGGATGTGAGATAACATAACATCTATCCCAAGCCCTTTGCTTACAAGAAAAACCCATACTTCACTCCCTGTTTGATTTGGCCAGACAAGATACTCCACACTCAACTCTGTAAGTTATGCACTTCCATAGCAAGTAAACTCAAACCTCAGAACCAGGAGAACAGGAAGGAATGGAATTCTGCAACCAAACCCACCCGCGAAGAAACACTTCTTGAATGGAAAACGGAAGAGATGGAGATGTCAAGAACAAAAACGTTAGAAAATTGATTTCGCTAGCAGGAATTGAGATACAGCCAATCCAGTTCAGACACTGGGGTCAAAGCTCCAAAACTAAAACCCAAACTACAATAAATATAATCTTCTAAGAATTTTTTACATCTTGCCTGATGCAGCAGAGGGAAGCTCAATGGTTGGACAGAAATGAAATAACATCTTTTCGTTAGAAAGAAGCAGAACAACGTTGTGTCTATAATAAAATCAACGCGAACGCGTGACCACTGTATCTGGGCGCCATGCATGAGCGTTGTAAGAATCAAAACCAAAATGCTAAAAATCATCAAAATGAAAAGTAAAAGACATATACGACAACCATCGATTAAAATAAGCAGAATAACGGATGGCTTTTTACCTATTGAACCTTCATTCAATTCTGGTTCTCGTACTCGTGCGATTTCGATTTTCCTTGCTAGTTGCTGAGAGTGAACGCTGCTTTCCTCACACTTTATATTTGATTTTAGGGTTGAGATTTTGAAGGAAATTCAAGAGACACTTGCAAGAAAAGAGAGAAGTGAGAAATTAGCGGGAAAAATCGGTACTGAGAGGGAGGGAAAAGTGTTGAGACTTTTGAGATCATTTTTCGTAGAGAATGCCCATAAATGACGAAGGACACAATAGCATTAGCATCCGAAGGCAAATTGACCATCATGTTAACAGTGGCGTTGCCACGTGTTAGTGATGGGCAAATGCATCCCATTACTTTAGAAATTATTATAAATATGGTATGAAAATTTTATACTCCTTATTCTTGTTCCTCTACCCTTTTTAAACTAAAGAAAAAATTTTCGGCTGAAAAACTTATTAAATATAAAATAATTTAATAATTTATATAAAATATGAAGAATATATTTGTATAAATGATCATATCAATTTGGTCATTATAATTTAAAAAAAATGATAATTAATTTATTTATGTTATTATAATTTTAGTTTTATAATATAATTATTATCTTTAAAAAATATTAATTTTTTTATTAAATTATTCCGGACCCCTTAGTTTCGTATCCTGGCTCCGTTATTGCATGTTATCCAAAACAAAAAACAAAAAAAATTATGTTTTAAAATATTATACCTTTAAAAAATCCTCATCAAGATGGCTACAAATTGAAACTTGGTCTAACAGATGCTGGGTCCCAAATTTTTTCTTGTGCTAGATATATATATACAACCTGGCGTTTATCATACTGATTTTGATACAATTAAAAAAAAAATGTTAGAACGTTACAAGCCGCATTTTCTCTCTCCTCACGCATCATCCTCCATTTTCTATTTCTTTAGCCCAGCGATCCTCATACCTTTTATACTTATACAAAAGTTACAAACAATTCTCCCTCTCTTCTCATATATATATATATATATATATATAATATAATAAATTTCTTAAATAAAATTATGTATCTATATTATATAAATTTTAAATAAAAAATATTCAATTATAAATATTTTGGTAAGAAATTGTGTATATGTTTTAAATTATAAGAAATTTATCATTCATCTAATTTTTAATATGTAATAAAAAAATTTATATTCACTAAAAGTTTCACGATGGTTTGGAATTTGTCTATATTTTATCAAATTTATTGATATAAGTATTTAATATGATTTATATTTTTAAAGAAAATAAAAGTGTAAATAATAAAATGGAACTGATTGGTGTATATAAGAAAACTTTTTAAATTCATAACTATTAAATTACATGATTTTAGAGAAATACTTGGGTAGATCGGATACACCACCTCATTTGTGGTCTGTCTAATAAAAACATGACATTTAGATGACATTAAATATAAATTACTTTTAATATTAATGATAATAGAGGAAAAAATGTAAAAAATTAAATGTGCATTCTGTTATAAAAATAAAATTAATTTAAAAAATATTACACAAGATTTTATTTATATTACTTGAAATATTTTAATTGGACAGACCATAAATGATGTAGTGCATCCAGTCTACCAAAATATTTCTCTTATTTTTAATTATAAATTGAATTAGATTCTTTGTTTGGGAATTTAAAAACATTCCTATCAATTACTCTCAATGGTGAAAATTGCTTTACAAGGATTATGCTACTTGTTTGGAAGTTGGATTTTCTCTTCTGCAAAGGAGAGCAGAGGAGAGACTATTGCAAATCTAAATTATTAAATTGAATTTAAAAATTTAAATTTAATTTAAATAGTTTAAATTTGCAGTGAAGAAGCAGTGGACAAAAAAGGCATAGGAAAGAAACTCACCTCTCCTGATTGGGTATCACAAAGGTTTTTGATCTTATCACTCAAAGTCTTACATGTATTCTCTTAAGTGGAACACTCCTCTAATAAGGCAGTTATATAATTATTATATTGCTAATAAACTTTTGTCAACTCCTATCAAAACAAGTCAAATAGCTAAATGTAGACTTGAATCATTAGAATTCAAACCAGAAGCTTGCACATATCAAATTTCTCATTTTTCTTAAGCTCAACCCTATTTATCATCTGAAGAGGTTTAAGGTTGTCAAGTTGGGCCATAAAAACTACATAACTTTATTTATTTCTTTTAATTTAAGTTTCTAATTATGATAATAAACATGTAAACTACAGATGATCACTTTGCCTTGGTTGAAAAAAAAACAAGAAGAAGAAGAAGAAGAGGAAAAAAAGTAAAACCGGCTAGCCCAAGCCTGCATTTTAGTTTTTACTAGCTTATTGCAACTGGGCCCAAAAACCCTTATACAATGACAATTAGGGATCCCTAAAGCTATTAGTTTCAATTAGAGATCCTAAATTATTAAAATCTTAATAATGAATCATGATTCTTACTTAAAATTAAAAAATTGCTAATAGTTTAAAATGCCCCTCAAAAGTGATTCTAAGTGACTATTGTATATTTATAAGTGTCCTTGAAAAGTTTTAAAAATGAATTTTAGTTTCTTGTTGAAAACAATCTATTTCCAACAATTGTTCCTTAGTTTTTCAATTAAAATTAACAATATTTACATCTCAAGATAGTAATTTCAATAGTATCATTTTTTTCATTTTTCAAGTGGTGTCTATTAACAAGTATAAAATTCAGAAGTGATTGGGTTATATTTAGAAGTGATGTTAATACATTTTCAAGTGACTATTGTATATTTACAAATGCCCTTAAAAAGTTTTAAAAGTAAATTTTAGTTTCATATTAGAAAACAATCTATTCTTAACTATTATTTTTTAGTTTTTCAACTGAAATTAACAATATTCTCATCTCATAATAGAAAATTCACATGTTTTTAATTCTAAGTAAGCATCTCTAATTATAAAGGATGTTCTTAAGTGTTATTTTTTCTTTAAAAAAATCTCCTTTAAAAAAAAAACCCACCTTGAGGTAGAGCCGGGAATTTGGGGGGGTCAAGCTTATTTGGGCTCGGCCCGAATAGGCCTGGCCCTAATAGCCCCGAACCCAAATAGGCCTGTGTCATTGAAAAGCCCAAATAGCTAAGCCCGGCCTGAATTCCTTCAAGCTTCAGGCGGCCCGAATATTCAAATTTAATTTTTAAAATTATTTTTAATTATTTTTTTACTTTGAAATTAATTATTTTATTTTATAAAAAATATAAAATATATTTTTTTAATACTTAAATGATATTTAGGACTCACGTATATGGTATTTTAGTATAAAATGATCTAAAATTTAAAGAATTAATTAATATTTATTATATTTTATATATTTTTTAAAAATATAATTTTTTTATTTCGGTATTCGGGCCAAGCTCGAACCCGATCGGCTTGGCCTGAATTTTTTCGGGCCTATTCAGGCTAACCCGAATAGGCCCAAATATAAAAAAAAAATCCTTTTTTTAAGCTCGATCCTAAAATTTTTTGGGCCAATTCGGGCTAGTCCGTCGGGCTTAACTTGAATTACCAGCTCTACCTTGAGGGGGATGGGGGTATCTCCACTCCCCCCTATGTTTCCTCTTCATTTTCTTAAAATAAAAAAAATTAAATTATTAAAAAAAGATAAAAATAATAAAAAAATGACATCATTCTATCATCATCCTACGCATGATTTAATTTTTTTATATTTATTAAAAAATATAAAAATATTACCAATATGTTTTATTATTAATTTGGGTAGTCCAAAGTTAATATGAGTGGTTCAAACTTAGTGCTAAAATTCTTTATAAATGGATCATTGAGATATATTTTGAACAGTGAATATTTAATATTAAAATTATAAAAAATTTAACATTAAATTTGGACTATTGATATTAAATCTAGATTGTCTAAACTAGTTAGTAGATTTAATAATTTTTATTAATTTTTGTAAACTAATTTTACAGATTATATCTAGAGAGTGGAAGTTTAATATTAAAATTGTAAAAAATTTTAATATTGAATTTGGATCATCAATAATAAATCTAGATTATCCAAATTGATAATTAGATTTTTTATTTTATAAATTTTTATAAATTGACTATCTACATATAATTTGTACAATGAAAGTTGAATATTAAAATTATAAAAGAAATTAATATTAAATTTGAGCTATCCAGATTAAATCAGGACTGTTCATATTACTACTCAGTTTTAATAAAAAGATTTATACTTTTTATTTTAAGAAATTTTAAATAAAAAAAGAAAAATATTTAATCTGAACCATGTGTAAGGGGGAGAAGCCGGGCTTGACAAATTAAGGGTGATTTTTTTATTATTTTCTGTATTTTTTAATAATTTAAATTGTATTATTTAAAAAAATGGAGGAAAAATGAAGAGGGGAAAAGTGGAGACACTCCCCCCCCCCCTCCCCCACCAACCCAAAAAAAACCCCAAAAGGGGGAAATTGACCTTGAAATTGACCTTAAATGAACAGCTTCTAATAGGCCCAATTTCTATTGATGGCTCTAGCAGGCGAGACATTGGAGCGTGTTTTACTTCGTTGGAAAACTGGAAAATGTCCACACCAATCTTTGAGTTTGAATAAGTCGATTATTTTTCTTTGTTTTAATCTGTACTATATTTCAACTGGTATAACAGAATAAAACTGAAAGTAGAGAAGGGGGAAAAAAAAAGAAAGAAGAAGTACAAACAATTCTTAAATAAAAAAATTAATTACTACAAAATTTATTAACAACTGAATTAAGAAAAATAACAACACATTGTGTTGTCAATAGCTTTAATCATATTATTAATGAATCTTGAAATAATTAATTTTTTTATATGGAATTTCAACAAAATTCTCAAAAAAACAAAAAATAGTGAGATTGTGTCTTTTGGCTTGCCAGAAACGAGAACAATTTTCAAAGAATCAAATAGTTCAAAACATAATATTAGAAAAAGTTTTAAAAAATTTAAAAAAACTAACAAATTCAAAAAAATAGACTCTATTAAAAACTGACTTCATTTGTGGACCCTTACATGTATATAATATAATTTAAGAATATTTTTCAAAAAAATATTGACAAGTATAAGTACAAATGCAGATACTTTTAAATTTATTCATTCCTAATTTAACTAAGATTCACCTATATTTAACAAATTATAAAAATATAATTTATAATATTATTAATTTATGGTTTTGTGTTATTATCTCAACAATTAAACATATTGTAGATTTATT